AACGGTAACTGTGTGTATGATTCCACAAGCAGACACTTCTTTATTGCGGTGCAGGGTGCACGGGGGATATCTCCTCCTAGCGTGCACACCTTGCACTGAAATTAAACTTCTTATATAGAGCTTACATATACATAAGCCAATTATTTCCCAAAAATCATTAGCATATTCTTCCCCTATTTCCGATTCTGCGCAATAAAAGTTAGAATCATCTGGAAATCAGTCTGGGGTGTAATATGGGTAGGTGAGTGGTTTGTCGCCACCCCCCCCTGCCGGAATTCCCTTTTGCTTAAGTTCACGGTTTCTGGCAGTTACCTCGTGGTTTCTTGGCAGGTACCCATAACTCGTTACGGCTGGCCTTCTTCATTCTCATTAACCCAAACCTTGATAGCTACGTGCATTCTTCTAGTTCTATGTAAGTATCATAAATCAATTGGTAGGTCAACTTGTACTTGTTATCTAATTTCTACATGATTCTAACTTATCCCTTCGGTCTTGGTACAGGATTATACAAGGAATTTCATAGCAGCGTCTGGTTACTCTACGAGCTTACTTTTCATTGAAATATTTCTTAAAGCTTTATATTATTAAAATCAATTGCAAACTATATTAATTACAAACTATTGATTAAATTCTAATTACTAAAATTCTAAGTATCAGTAACATCCCCATCTCCCTGTACTTTGACAGTGTCACCGACAAGATCAACAGCGTGGTGCAGAAGCACGGGGCCACCTTAGTCCATTGTGCCGCGGGCGTGAGCAGGTCGGCCACCCTCTGCATCGCCTACCTGATGAAGTACCACAAGGTGACCCTCTTTGAGGCATACAACTGGGTCAAATCGAGACGCCCCATTATACGCCCCAACGTGGGCTTCTGGAGGCAACTGATAGACTACGAGAGGAAGCTCTTTGGGAAGACAATGGTTAAAATGGTACAGACACCATATGGCAGCATCCCAGATGTTTATGAGCGAGAAAGGAGACCCCTGATGCCTTACTGGGGAATTTAATGTGACTGCAGACAGGAAGCATAACAGAAGGGACACGCTGTTCTGAGTTGACCAGACTGGAGACATCCCCTTCTCCTTCTACAGCCAACTTTGGTTCTTTACCATACAGCAGAATCTCAACTAATTCTCACCTCACTAACCTGCAAGGCCAACGATTCCCTTCAAAGCATTTCTCTCTACAGAGATTCCCCCATCCGCATTTCTCTGGGTTAGCAGCATGAGTTCTCCTTATCAGTTTCTTCCTTTCGTAAAGCCTCCCTCCCTTTTTCAGTCGGTTTATGAGTATCCTACGAGGAAAGGCCCAAAAGGCGTTTGGCAGAGTTAATGAATAAAGTGCGCTTTGTGATGTGGTAGCCTGGATATTTCGTTAATAGCTTGTTTGCTTCCTTGCAAAATCCTGTAGCGGCTTAGGGAGTGGCACTAGCATGGATCGAGCGAGGTCCTACGCTAAGGCAGGGTTTTTTTCCAAAAGCCGGGAAGGCAGGTGTGCAGGGTCATGGTGCTAGTGCTGGTGTTTTCTTTTAACATCCGTAGTGACTCTCAGTATATAGTGTTTGAGATTTTTTAGTCAGCTCTTAATCTGTATTAAAAGTTTAAAAATAAAAAAAAAAAAGGAGTGAAATCAGTCCGTGTCAGCCACAAGTAAAATAAAATTTGGATTATTCAAATCAAAGAAATACAAGATCCTTTTTCACTCATTCCATGCCGGGGCAATAGTCCTGGACTACCCTCACACTACTGAAAAGCGCTGGTGTTTTTTGTGAGTGGAAGGTAAACAGATATCTTGTCCAAATGTGGCTCAAGACAGAAGCGAGAGGTTAACCCTCCCCGCGCCGGACAGCCAAAGAAACGTTTAGGAGACTGCGTGTGTGTGGCCACCTTCCAGAGGGGCCGAGCTGTGTTTTCTAATATGCAGTCAACCAGTAAATTGGAAGTAGGTAAATCTGCTTGATTACTCAGCTCTAAGTACAGTTGTGATCTGCCTTAGCCCATTTCTAAATCACTTCATTATGTCCTCAAGGTTATGTTGCTTTCTAGAATTCTTCTGCGATCTGTTCAACCTCTCGGACAAGGATGGCTTTAGGGAGAAGGCTTTGCCTTGTTCTGTGTGTGATGAGAATGATTCCAACGCGAGATGTGGGAGAAGCCTTCCCGGGGCGCTGCCTCCCAGCCGTCGCTCCCCTCCCTGCGGACAGGAAGGGACTGATGTCGAAGTGTAACTGGAACAGCAGGAGAGCAAGGCAAGTCCGTTCCTCGACGAGACGTTTGTGTCCTCTGTTTCATCTCTGAAGGAGGAATACGCAGATTGCTGGATGCCGATAGCTATCTGATTTAAATGAGATTCTATACTTTTAAAAAAAATAAAATCGGTTTACATCAGTCCATCCAGGTGTCCCGCAATTCCTGAGCCTCATCACAAAAGCCAGGCAATTAATTTGACTGTTTCCAAATTTTTATCTTCCAAAGTCCTTGCTGAACAGCTGAGGCTTTAAGGAACAGCAGATGCAGTTCAAGGTTTTCTCCAGACTGACCCACTGCGTGCAGACTGCAGCACCAGGAGGTTTCTGGTTTCCCAGACCAAAAGGCACTGGGGCTGAAATACGGTTACGGCTGATATGGAACTGCGCAGACAGCCTCAGCCTCATTCGGATCAGGAGCAAAACCAGACCCGGTTGGAATCAAAGTCTAGATTGGAGTGAATCCGATACGGAGGCTTTGTTAGCTCCGACCCAGAAGTCAGGTTTCAAATCTACTGCAGACGAGCCTTTTACCAGGGTGGGCAAATGCCACTCACTTAAAGTTACTCACCAGGGGATGGAAACAGTGCTTGGTAATTTCCAGGCTCCAGTCAGAGGTCCAGCAGGGCCAGTGAGGACCACTGAGGGAGTTCACAGATTTAAATTAGGCCCAGGGCCACTTTCGGGGGGGGCTTGGTGGCACACGGGCACGCGAGAGCGCTCCAAAGCCCCATGGCACGGAGTTGCGGAGAAGGGATTTGGAGAAGTACTGAGACGACTCAATATGAGTTAGCTGCAGGAAGTCTCGTTTATTGCGCAGTTCTTATTGCTTATATAGACAGTATTTGCCAATAATCCCGAGACCACACCTTTTCTACACCATTATTGGATGATACATATGCTTGTCATATTTAACAGCTTATTTCAAACAGACACCCGCCTAGCGAAGCTCTGCTCTAAGCAAACACTACTCCCTTATCATACAGCATAGTTTTCTTATCCTTAGCTTCAAGGGCATTCTGCCCTTGAGGCCTAACTTTAGAGCTCCAGTCCTTATTTACACAGGATTTTCTTCGTGCAGTCTCTTCAAGGATCTGCACTCCGACACGGAGTCACGAGGTTGGCCACGGCTTCAACTGCATCGATGCCACACCTGCGCCCGGCGACACGGCTGTGAAATGAGTCACCGCAAATCCCTCAACGTCGGAAAGGCATCCAAAGGCTAAAAGACATTTCCTGGATGCACTTACACACAGCCCATTCCCTCTGCAAACCCATCTTTTATCTGTTAGCCAGGATGCACTTAAACAAAACTGTCCATGAAAAACCCAAAATACTTCACCACTGTTTTTTTCCAACAATACCAACACATGGATCCCGGTGTCCTTCAGCGTCACAAGGACAAAGCGCAGCCCCAGGTCTCCTCCTGC